AACGCTGTTACCGAAACGTCACACACTATTTATTTATTTGGATTTGGTCATATTACCTTGTGTTTATAATCTATAATCCAAATTGTGCTTTATCTATTATAGACACGTATGATTCTTTTCAAAATTTAAACAATTTCTACTGCCCTTACTGCAATGGAAAAATTAAAAGGAAGGGCCTGGCTTATCAGTGGTGAACCCTCCCAGCGGTTTCGCCAGTTTAAATTTTCCATTGCAGTAAAGGACAGTAGAAATTGCTTAATTTTTCAAAAGAATCATACGTGTCTATAATAGTTTCGAATATTCATAACAGATGGCGTACTGATGCATCATAATATAATTGTTTCTAATCTAAACACAAGGTAATAAGGCCAAATCCAAATAAATGAATAGTGTGTGACGTTTCGGTAACAGTGTTGTTACCATCTTCAGACAAAAGTACTGAATTCATTCTCTACTGAACTTATTCAGTACTTTTGTCTGAAGATGGTAACAAAACTGTTACCGAAACGTCACATACTATTTATTTATTTGGATTTGGTCTTATTACCTTGTGTTTATAATCTATAATCCAAATTGTGCCTTATCATTATTTCTTAACCTATAATCTAAATTGTACCTAACACTACAAGTTGTGGGTTTACATGGTCAATGAAGGTTGTTCCCACAAGTGAAGTTGAGACAATGCTGTATGACAGATCCCAGAAGTCCTGCTATGGGCCAAGGAACAGAAGGAGGAGCTGAGTCCCAACCTGACCACCTTCACGGAGCACTTCAACAAGATGTCCTACTGGACCCGCTCCACCATCTTGGAGCAGGAGGATGCCAGAGAGAGGGAACGCCACATCCTCAAGTTTGTCAAGATCATGAAGCAGCTGCGCCGTCTCAACAACTTCAACTCCTACCTGGCCATCCTTTCTGCCCTCGACTCCGCCCCCATCCGCAGGCTGGACTGGAACAAGACTATTACTGAGGTAGCCTGGGTTTCTACACCTCTACATTGTCCACTCTTCTCTTTAAATTACTAGAAGTCTTGGCGAAACAACTCACCAGACAAACCCTTTTGGTTACATTGATATCTGTTGTTGTTGTGGTTTCTTATCCCCTTGTGTAAAGATTACACAAATTCCATGAGTTCATGCTCCTCGAGCTGTTTGATGATAAGCAGCAGCCTCTCCCAAAGGTCCTGTTTAGTGAATCTAATGCAAGCCAAAATGTGTTCTGGAGCTGCAGGTGCCAAGCTACATTTTGGGCAAGTGGGGTAGATTTTGTTGTTATTTTCTATCGTCAATGGCTTGAGATGGCCTGTTCTAAATCTTGTTAGTGTTGTTTGATACTGTCTATTTCTGATGTTCAGAGCTCCTCCTGGGTTCACTCCACTGTACCAACTGTGCTTAGGTGGGATCCTCCAGTTGATATCTCATTATAGCAACCTCCCCTTTATGACCCCATAATATAACACTCACAGACAAAACTTAAGGAAGTGGAAATTCTATACAGTAGAACCTCCATGAGAGGACACTCACGCTAGAGGACACCTCTCTATAAGGACAGTTTTCATTTGCAAAATTACTATTTAGCAACTCTCCAGTTCAAGGACACCTTGGCTCTGCAATTAGGTGTTGTCCTTTACAGGGAGATTCTACTGTATATATATATTTTTTTTAAAGAAGACAAGAGACAATTTTGTCCACACTTGGTTATTTCGTGTGTCTTAAATAAAGGTCACTGTAATATCTTTCAGAGATATTGTCTGAATCCCGATATACATGCTAAAAGGTACAACTTCCTCAAGTTTTTGTCCATGAATGGATTCTGGACTTTTATCGAAAGACAATCTTTATATTTTTTATACATTCTGATATATACATTGGTTCTAATCCATTTTAAGATATGAAAGAATACATTTAAATAATAAAGGAAACAAAATTCATGCACAGATTTACAAATTTTAATACAGTAGAACCTCCCTGTAAAGGACACTTAGTTGCAGAGTTAAATTGTCCTTTAGGGAGAGGTGTCCTCTTAGAGGAGAGTTGCTAAATAGTAAAAAAAAATGTCCCTAGTACATGTGGTACAGGCCATAATAATCATGGTGGATAAAAGTAGGCGACTGCTTTTACTGTAAGCCAAATATGTTAATTTTGGCAATGAAAACTGTTTTTTTTTTTATAGAGAGATATCCTATAGCGTGAGTGTCCTTTCTTGGAGGTTCTACTGTATTTGTCTTTTGTATATGTCCCTGCTACAAATCCATTGTCACCAAGTTCTAGGATATCATGTACAGTGCTAGAGACATGCACATACAGAGAAACCAAATGTTGGGCGGATTGTGCAGAGTTTGAAGGACTACGGCTCTCTGATTGACAGCTCCTCCTCCTTCAGAGCCTATCGCCAAGCCTTGTCTGAGGCGGACTCCCCCTGTATCCCCTACATGTGAGGACAGCTTCATCACTCTTGTTGTTGTTGTTGTCGTGTCCAAAGAAGAGCCTCAGATGTCTCCATGCATCTCTATCACAGCAGCAGCAATGTCCACTATCTTGCTCTTCATTGGAAAATGGGTGCCGTTGCCACGTTAGTCACCTTGGAAACGAACCAGAATTTGGTCGAATATTCCAAGGGTCCAGGGGGGACCACAGGGAGGTGTGGATGGACTTCTCACCCCCCCCCCCCCCAACACTTGGTCACTCTTGTCCTATCTACTTTTAACTTCGTTGTTGCTTCTTATCCCCTTGTACAAAGATTACATGAGTCCATGCTCCTCGAGCTAGATCTCATGGAATGGAGAGTAGAGGTGCAGCTTTCATTGATCATTGCACCATGATCCTGGCAACACTTTGGTGAAAGTCTGACTGTAATTTGAGGCCATTCCTAACATGGAAACCTTCACTGCCGACTCTAACATGAGTACAGAGGCAGTATCCCTGGAGAGGAACCCTTGCTGAAGTCTATCAACCAGATCAGCTGAACTCAGGATTTTTAAATTGTTCTTTCTCCTCTTTCTAACAATGCTGTTGGTCTGCAACTGCTTATTGGTCAGAGTTTTTTTCTGCTTCTTTTGCAGCTGGCCTTCATAAGGTAAAAAAAAGTAAATCCAAATAAGTAAATTTATATTTCAGTAACAGAGTTGTCATCATCTTCAGACAAATGGTGATATTTTTCTTGTACTTTTGTCTGGAACAATGCCTTTACCAGAAAATCTAATTTACTTATTTGGTCTTGTTGCCTTGTAAATTTTAAACTCTCTTCTTCTTCTTATTTCTTATCTCCACACTGGGTGAAGTAGAATGCGTCTGCCTTTGTCATTAAGACTGGGAGCACTACTCAGTTGCAGGCCACTGACTTAGCTCCAAAAGAAATGGCCGCCTCTGACATGAGGAACAGACCATGTGCAGCCGCTCCTAACATGAAGTACAAACGCTGCTCATCCTGTATCCCTGGAGCCCTTACAGGGTACGATCAGCTGGACCAGCTGAGACCAGGTTTTTTAGTGAGCTTGTTACTGCTCCCCCTCCTCCTTTTTCATCCGGGCTTGGGACCGGCAAAGGCGGAGTTAGTTTAAACTAATCTCCTTAAATACATTTCTTGGCTAGGTTTGAGAAACTGGGCCCCATCAGAATTTGTGGGATGGCCAACCAAATATCTGTGTGCTTTCAAGTGTGATCCTGCCAGCTTCTGGGTGATAGAACCATACAGCTCCTAATTCCTGCTCTGGATGTACAGTGGACTCATCCTGCAGGACCTCACCTTTGTCCACATTGGCAACGCGGACTTCCTTCCAACTGGACAGATCAACTTCTCCAAACGTTGGCAAGCCTTCAACATCCTGGAGAACATGCGTCGGTTTAGGAACTGGTAAGTTACCCTCGCACAATACAAGGTGTCCGTGCTGACTGAGAGAACTGAGGTTATTTGGTTATGTAACAATGAAATTTGTTTCATATTTTATCTTTCACAAATGGGGTTTCATTTTGTATGGAGTAATCGGTAACAGTACCGGGTAACAATGAAATGTGTTTTTTCTCTCTCACACACATGGTATTACTTTGTATGGAGTTAGTACAAAACATGGTGTCAGTTGTGTTGTGTCCGTTGTTTTGTCAATAATCCACTCTGACTCGTCGGAGCTCCCTTGGTACCGGTTTTATTTATAACCAGTGCCGGAACATAAGGAGAACACCACACACAGCCAGACGCGGAGTAACCTCCCCGCTCGCAGCCAAAACCAAAACCAAACTGCCGGGTTCCAGTCTCGGCCGGTTCCCGCCGACACACTGGCGCCGCTAGGCTCGAAGTGACGTGAGGATTCTCGCCTGAACCCTCAACAGTGTCAGTGCTGACTGGGAGAACTGTGGTTATGTAACAATGAAATTTGTTTTGTATTTTATCTTTCACAAATGGGGTTTCTACAGTTTGTATTGAGTTGGTTTGTCTGCCTGCCATTATCTACATGGAATTGGGGGTTTTCCTCTATAAGGTCCACTCTGTTTTGTCTCTCTCCACCTACCATTTTTTCCTCTCTCTTTTACACATGGGGGTTTCTTCACTTTGTATAGAGTTTGTCTATCTGCCATATAATCTACATCTTCTTCTTTCTTATCTCCACTCAATCACACTAAGGTATCAGGCTTGTAAAGCTTGTTGATGGTGTCTGCTAGGGAAGAGTAGAACTCATCAATGGATGAGTTAATACCGTCAATGATGTCTTCTTCTTTCTTATCTCCTCTCAATCCCACTAAGGTATCAAGCTTGTAAAGCTTGTTGATGGTGTCTGCCGGGGAAGAGTAGAGCTCATCAATGGATGAGTCAATACAGTCAATAATGTTTCTTGGGGTTGCAGGCTGACACTTAGTACATAGTGGGAAAACCTTGCAACCATATATAATCTACTTGAGATTGGGGAGTTATCCTCTACTTTATGTAAGACCCACTTTGTTTCGTCTGTCTACCTACCAGTATCTACACTGGCTGCAGATTTTCCTATATTGCTTTAATTTGCATCAATCTAGTAGGTTTGATGAAAACACCTGTTCTCATCCATTCACTGAAGTTTAGCAATGTCAAGCCCGATCAGTACTTGGGAGGGTGACCACCTGGGAACATCGAGTTCTGTAGACTAATTCCTTTACCTACTGTGGAAAGACATTGTGCGTGAAAGTTTGTGTCTCCTATCCACCAATAAAAAGACATGCATGCTTCGCCAACCAACTTCCTGTGTTTATACAAATAATACTTGTTGTAAGAAATACCGGGTAATTGTTATTCCAATATATGTTGTTGTTGTTTCGTATCCCCTTGTGTAAAGATTACACTACTACAGGGAACTCTGAAATGTGGCTGACTAATGGGGCAATGGCACCATCCTTTCCATGGAGAAATGGACAAGACACCACCACCACAAAGATTACACAAATTCCATGAGTTCATGCTCCTAAAGCTGTTTGATGATAAGTGGCGGTCTCTCCCAAAGGTCCTGTTTAGTGCTTTTAATGTAAGCCAAAATGTGTTCTGGAGCTGCAGGTGCCAAGCTACATTTTGGGCAAGTGGGGTAGATTTTGTTATTATTTTCAATTTTCAATGGCTAGAGATGGCCTGTTCTAAATCTTGTTAGTGTTGTTTGATGCTGTCTGAAGTTCAGAGCTCCTTCTAGGTCCACATTATATATACAAGATGTATGTGATCTTGTACCTTCCATGGTGTACAAGGGGGTTGGTGGAAGGATGGTCTAAACTGTTGGTTTTTGCCCGCAACGACCCAGGATTGAATTCCACATTGGGCACTTTTTCTAAAAAAAAAAAAGAAAAATGCTCCAATGGCCCCTGATTCCTGCAAAAGTCCAACTCCACCAGCAAGTGCAAGTAACCAAACAAGGCTTTGGCACATTTGTAAGTGCAAAAGTCGAACTGCCTTTCACATGTGTAGACAATTACAACTTCTACCCACCATGATTATCATGGCCTGTATCATGTGTAATAGGTATAATATTTTTAAAAATTATTTCAAGTGCACGTGGTACAGGCCATGATAATCATGGTGGATAGAAGTAGGCGACTGCTTTTACTGTAAGTACACCACATGTCTACACATGTGAAAAGCCGTTCAACTTTGCACTTATAAATGTGCCAGAGCCCCGTTTGGTTACTTGCACTCGCTGGTGGGGTTGGACTTTTGCAAGAATTGGGGGCCATTGGAGCATTTTTTTTTTTAATCAGAAAAAAGTGCCCAATGCAGGAATCATACCTGGGTCGTAGCGGTCAAAAACCAACGGTTCAGACCATCCTTCCACCGACCCCCAATAGGGATAATAATAAAGAAAAAAAAAAAAAAGATGTACCTTGGTTCCATGTTCTCATCCCAGATTAACACCTACTGTTGGAATGCCCACTCTTCTTCACCGCTAGACAACAGACAATAAATAATGTTGTAGATCTATATCAATTTGTAAATAGCAGAGAGAATTATCATAGGTTTAACTATTTTTGTAAATATATTTATGATTTTCTTTAAAACCTGAAAGGTTCAGGTTCCTAATATATATTATTGTTTCTCTTTTTTTATTTTTGATTAATTTTTCTTGTATAATATGTTTATAACTGAAAAATGAAAGGAAAAAAAAAAAAAAGATAAAAATGGCCCATTCTTGATTCATCAAGAAATTGGGTTGGCCAAATATCAGGGAACAGGCTAAATCAATGATTAGTTGATTTCTGTTCCACCAGATGGCGCTCTGCCTTCTGTAAAGCACATGTGCTCCTTGTCAGGATATGCCATTTTTATTTATGTTTATAACTGTTTCTGTTAAAAAAAAAATGTAAATCAACGCAATTATCCTTAGCCGGAATATTGCGTTTTGTGTGTTGAAATAAATAAATGATCTCACCCCAGGGGATATGTGCAGTCAATACCCCTTCAAGCGGAACGACCAGATCATGTCATTCTTCAACAACTTTGACAACTACCTCTGTGAGGAGGCTCTGTGGCAGCTCTCAGAGACCATCAAACCCCGCGGCACTCGCAAGTAGCAGCTTCTTGCTAGCCAAATTTTTGTCTCTTTTTTTTTTAAACTCTTTTATTATTTGAACTCTTTATCATTTTAAATTTTTGATAACCATATGTAATTGTTGAGCAAAGTAGTAGGTGCTACTTTTTTGAATTTTTTACTTTACGCAAGTGTTTTAACTAAAAACTTCACTATTTACATACTGTCTATCTATATATGTAAATTTTTTTCTAGAAAACTAAAAAAAAAAACGTTTTTTACGAACACATCCATCCTGTATCTCAAAGTTTTTTTTGTTGTTGTTTTTTATATTTCAGATCTTCTTTTTTTTTTTGTTTTTTCTATATAGAGAAGCTTGTCCATTGTTTGTACAGCAAGTATGTGTGTGCTTTGTTCTTCTAAGTATCTTTCTAAGCTCGGCCAAATTTTGTAAAGATTTTATTATGAAATACCAACCACCCACCATTGTGTATAAAAATCTATTTTTATGCAAATTTATACAAGATGTATTTACACATGCTGCAAATATTTGTCTTAACATTCAATAGATAAGGCACAATTTGGATTATAGATTATAAACACAAGGTAATAAGACCAAATCCAAATAAATAAATAGTGTGTGATGTTTCGGTAACAACATTGTTACCATCTTCAGACAAAAGTACTGTAAACACAAGGTAGTACTTTTGTCTGAAGATGGTAACAACACTGTTACCGAAACATCACACACTATTTATTTATTTGGATATGGTCTTATTACCTTGTGTTTAACATTCAATAGAATCCCCCACTTACCTTTTTTTTTTTTTTCAAAGACAAAAATTATTGGATTTTATGCAGCTGTTATTATTCTCTTTCTTTTACTTTTCTTAAGAAAAGAACAAAAAATGTATATATATATATATAATAAAAAAATATATATCAAATGTAATTTTATACAAAAATTATTTTAAAAATATTTCTTCGTTTTTATTATTATTATATTATTTATATAAGAGTCTTATATAAAAAGTAAAATTTTTATTTTTTAAAATGTGATTTCTAATTATACCTCTCATGTTTCAATGTAAAACTTTATAAATTTAAGATCAATTAATATATTTATATATATAAAAAAAGTGTGAAACGTGTTCGTGGATGGCTTTTTAGTAAGAAGACACGTCTTCATAAAGAAAAGTTTAGCTCTGCAATTAGGTGTTGTTCTTTACAGGGAGGTAGTTCTACTGTATAGATTTACAGTAGAATACGCTCCATGAGAGGACACCTCTCTACAAAGGATAGTTTTTATTGCCAAATTTACCACATTTTTTTTTACTAATTACAAACACTTACTGGTCAGAGGACATCTCTCCCACACCAACTTTCTATCTAGATGTCTTTTACAGCGAGTCTCTATGTTAGTATTTCATGTCATCCTTAAATGATTGGAAAAGTAAAGGTTTTGTTAAAAAATTAGTAATGGAGTTAGTTTTTTTTATGATTGTTTTTACATTGATACGTGTGATAATCATGGTGGATTGTTGTACCCGAAATTATCTACCCATGTTAGTATATTGGGGTCTGATTAGACATGTCAAATGTTTCTATAAAAAAATAGACACTTTGGCCAGTTAGAGTTTTTTTTTTTTTCTCAACGTTTCAACAAAAATCTGACGTTGCCAGATGCTTTATTTTTATTTACTTCTCCTGATGAAGACAAACGTTGAGAAAAATAAAAAAAACTCTAAACTGGCTGAAGTGTCTATTTTTCATAAAATATGAATGCCGCGCGGCAAGGCAACCTCTTATCTTTTACGATGTCAAATGTTGTATGGTAAAAACATGTACACACATAAATAGATGTTGGATTGTACTCTATCTACACAGATAGTACATTGACATGATTAGATGGTCAAGTACACCTATCCCTCGATTTACACGGTAGATACGTTCCTGAGAAAAATGTGTAAATCGGGGGATAGGTGTACACAGAAATAAAAATAAAATGAATTGACAGGTTAAAATATGTAGTCAGCACATAAGCTCGGGATTCTTCGTGAGATGTGTACACAGCGCATGTGTTCAATCACAGTAGCATTCAGTATAGTACGATAAAAACAAACAAAAAAAACTTATTTGGAAAACCATGTAAAAGCAAAAACATGTAAAACAAGTACCGTGTAAATCGGGGGATAAGTGTATTGTATAATATGTATCTATACCATGTCCATACAAGCAGTATTACTTGGAAAAAAATAGGTGACTTGGGACTTAGTTTCCTGCAAAATATATCCATACAAGCCATAGTACTAAGTGTACCAGTACATATACAATTACTCTGGTAAATTTATTTTTTTTCAAACTACACATAGTAATATTTCTTTACTATGGCAGTTTCTGTGGTCCCTATAACATCCAATTTGAAACTTTTTATATATACAGTTAAACCTGTCTATAGAGCCCCCTCTAAATAGTGCCTCCCTCTCTATAGCGCCTGATTTTAAATACGTAGTACGATGCGATTTACATTAAAAGTGACCTGTCTATAGCACCCCCTCTCTATAGTACCCTATTTTGATGAGTCACAAGAGGGGGCGCTATAGACAGGTTTAACTGTATATTTATACAGTAGAACCTCCTCCATGAGAGGACACTTCTCTGCAAAGAATAATTTTCATCTAAAAAAAATTCCTCTTCAAATAGGTGTTTTCCTTTAGAGAGTGGTTCTACTATATTTTTTTATGTTTATTTAAAATACAGCAATGTTATTTAAATTATTCATCACACTATCTGTACAGTAGAATCTCAATGAGAGGACACTCATACTAGAGACCATCTCTACATTAAGGACAGTTTTCATTTCCAAAATTACTAATTTTACTATTCAGCAATTCTCATGTAAGACGACACCTCTTTATCAAGGACAGTTTTCATATTCAAAATTACCAATTTTTACCATTTAGTAGTCTCAAGCTTTACAAGCTTGATACCTTAATATGATTGAGTGGAGATAAGAAAGAAGACTATTTAGTAACTCTCTGATAAGAGGACACCTCTCCATAAAGGACAGTTTTCATTTACAAAATTACTAATTTTACTATTCAGCAATTCTCCTGTAAGACGACACCTTTCTATAAAG